AAAAACTGTGGGTAGATAGATTGTGCAATGCATTGTACAGAAAGTATTTGGAGAACAGTACAGACAAACATCATCAGAGGTTTTAAGAATATGGTGAAGTTTTTGAACCTAGAATTACTGAATGACTTCTTGTCACTGCACTGTTCTGTAATTGTCCCAAACTGTTTAGGATGGAGTGGTTTATTTTGATCTATCGTTGTTCCTTCATCCTGGTTTTACTATTCCCCTTCTTGATTTAGCCTGATATGCTTATGTTGAAAACATTCTGTTACATAGGTTAACATACAGCATCATTACTTCATAACAGCTTCATGTCTGACATGCTCATTTTTGTGACTTCTTTGGAAAACGTTTTTTTTTTTTTTTTCCATATAGTACTGATGGCTGTGAATTTCTGTTTTCCTGCCTCACCTATTTAAATACTTTTATTCCTCTCTTTTTCCTAAGGGTTTCGAGGTAAGAGTTTGGTAGCTATTGAACAGGTTGTCCCGAAGTTTTATGAGCTTCAAAAAATTAGTTTTATAAACTCTATATTTTATTAGTTATATGAAATGATTCAAAATTATATTACCTCATTTAGATTTAATTATCACATGTAATAGGATAGATGTTATTCAGAGGAAATGTAAAACGGTAATGTCCTGAATGTTGGAGAAGCTCTCACAAGAACTTAACATCATATTTTACCCAAAATTACAGAATTTAGGGAAGAACAAAAACTACAGATTTAAGAATCCATGTTGTCCATTTAAAAATATTTTGCCAATGAAACAATGCTAGTAGCAAACAGTAGGTGGGGTAGGCAGCTTAACCTTTAGTACTGATCGCACCCAGTGCTTAGTATGTGACAGCCATAGTTTCTCAGGCAGAGATGGTAGCTGACAATTAAATGAAGGTAGGTATTTCACAGTGTAAAATCATGGTGAGGGAATATATTTCCCACCTCAGGGTGATGTTTTTTGAATATACTTTGGGACATACCAACATCACACGTATGTATGAGTTTTTAGGACTTTCTCCTGAAGTCCTCATTACAGACAAAACTGAAGGAAGGGAGCACTTACGGATTTTAAGCTAAAAATCTTGTTTGTATTGCTTGCATGGGTAGTTGGTCCCAGTGAACATCATACAGGGTTTTATATGGGTGCATCAAGTGGAATATAGTAGGTTTTCATGCTGAAAGAATAAACGAATCTGTAGAAGGAATGAAATTTGATTTTAAAAAAATTAGTTAATGTTCTGACTCATCTAAGTAACAGTCTTATTTTTCACAGTGGAAATTTTGAAAGAGCTGACAGTACTGCTTCTGTTTTCTCACAAAAAATTAACTGTGTTGTTTTAGGAGCCTTGTTGCAGGTTTCTAGCGAGTCCAGTTGTGTTTCATGGGCTTCCATAGCTAGCAGAAGGTTTCACAATATTTCAAAGAAAAACTTACTGATTATTGATTCAGTATTGATTTAGAACCTCATAACAAGTACCAAAGGATACCTCTGACTCGTTTTCAAAATCAGGGTTTCAGGCCTGTGTGGTTCAGTGTTCTGTGGTAAAGGATTTTTCCTTTTGTTTTTCCTTCTTCATTGATGCCATTCCTCTGTATTTGTGTATGCATGTGTTTTTTTTTTTCATTACTACTTCTGTAAAACTAAGGCTTTAATTCTTCTGCAGGTAGACTTAATAATACAGCCCTGCTAGTAAAATTGGTAAATCCTCTGGAGTATGTGAGAACCTTGCCTCAAGGTCCTGTTACTATTGCTATCTCTCTTTTCCCAGAGGATTACTTCAGTACAGACTGTCCTTTTAACCCTGGGGTAGCCTGGATTTTTAGCTTCTGGAGAGCAGAGTAATGACTCTGGGCTACAGCTCCTTCCTGGCTACTGCTCTGTCACTGGTGTGTTGTGAAGCCAGGAGCTTTTTCTGATTGCCTGGCAAACTGGGGTTTTCTTTTGTGTTCTCTTCGGGGCTTAGTTACTCAGATTATACTGCCGTGCTTACTTCACTGGCTTATTCCCCCCTGGTTTGTAACAGTAGGTGCTGGTGGAAGCACCAGAGGCGGGAATGATATCATATGATAGAAATATTATATATTACTACTTTTCCTGCACTTCGGCCTAATTGTCAGCAAGTCAAAGAGTATTGTCCCAGTGATGAGTAAAATCTGTTTATGGAGGTAATATTCAAAAACAAATTGTGCTAATGAGAAATGTTAGCTCTTTCAGTATTTTGGCCCGGCTCTTTATACTTACTTGGTGCTCACAAAGTGCATACGCACTGGTGAGTTACTGTCAAGAATATTTCTTTAGGTGCAGATTTGCCTCGTGGGATGTACTCAAGCATTGTACTGGTGGGCTCAAAGTGATTTCCCTCCTGGTGGAAACATGGCTGAAGCTGGTCATCAGGATGCTGTCTAGACCTCACTACTTGCAAAGCTGATGCAAAGTTCTCCTGCAGTTAGTACTCTGTATGTATGCAGTGTGCCCCTAGGAGTGGAGAGTGGTGCATATTATGTTGCTGGTAAGGCATGTTCACAAAAAGACCTAGAACTGCAGTAGATCCCAACCAGTAGAACTCAGTCCTCCTTTGCAGTGGTAATCTAGACGTACCTGTACTTTCAGCGAAGTTCTAAATGACTCTTAGAGTTTCTTCACTATAGAATTAATTGAAGGATCAGGACATTAATTCTAAAATGTAAGAGCTATTGTACAATGTACTCTACATCAATGGCAAAATAAAATGACATTTTAAAGTATTACTTTTTTAAAAATTATGGCGTTACGGTGTTGAGGACCTCAGGCAGAGATTCTTCACTGCTTTATCTCATGTAGTATGTTAGGTTTAGAGAACTTCGTTCCTCAAGGCTATTTGGAAGAATATCTTTCAGGTAATTTTTTTTCCCACAGAAGCTGGAGATGAGTGAGGAGAGGGGTCTCAGGTTTAAGCTGTGGTCTTTGAAAGTGTCTGCAGTAAGTTATATTCAAAACTGATGTAGGACTAGCAAAGATTTTTTGAGTGAATGCAAGGAAAGACATTTGAAAATACCCGTAGTATTATTTTTACCCTAATGCACTTATAAAATAATTGTCCTGGCTTTTTATTAAGATAATTTGAAAGCAAAACATGCTAACCTCTTGTTTCTCTCAAGAGGGTGATAGTCACAGCATAAACATACAGATGTGATGTACGGTGGATTTTTTTTTTCAGCAGTATTTGGCTTTACATCTGTATAATTTTTTTTGAGCCTTGTTTAACAATACTATTTTACAACTGTTCTAGATAGGAAGTAGTCATGCTTTTTTTTTTTTTTTTCCACAGCTGCAAAGAGGCTTGAGCATAAGAGCTTGTTAGGGTCTAGGCTTTATTTCTTCTTCTATTTCAGGTTGGTTTTCTGCAGCTGCAATTATATTTTTGGAGGAGGAAATTTTTTTTGTTACACTTTTCATCTAGAAGTTGCACATCGTAGTGGACTATAGTCCTCAGCAGGCTGTAGTCGCATGACTAATCTGCTTGAATTAATTTGCTACACACATTTTAAAAATCAAGATGGGATACTGTTTTTTCTCTTAAAGTTAGTAAAAAAGGCAGCTTGTAGGGTCAAGTGAATGTTGAAGAACAGTAATAGTTTTACACAAAAGACTTGAAGAAGAAGAGTCTCGTGTGCTTCATGAAATATTTTTTCCCTTTAAAGGGAGTGTCATTTCTGTTATGTAAGACACAGGTTTCAGAATAGTATGTCTTTCTGCCATAGCTAATGCTATCTGTAGATGATTTTCAGTATCCAACATTTATGAAGCAATCTTTCAGGTTTCATCACTCTTTCGAAAATTCTTACCCTGTACAATAAAGGCTAAAAGCTTTTTCCTCCTGCTACCTGTTCTTTCAGCTGCCCTTCCTGCTAATTAAGCTTCTCTTTAGCTTTGGTAGATGTCTCTAAAGGTCACCAATAGAGCAAACTAGTGAAGAGGATTATTCTTTGCAGTGATTTTTTTTTAATCTTAGGAAAGAACCTTTATCTTGAGGTTCTTCCTTCCTTAGTCTAGAGGAAAAAAAAAAGCTATTTCCTTTTTCCCTCAACTTGAGAAAACAATTTACATTAGAATGTTGAATTTGTGCTGGAAGAGATATGTTATTACCATGGCTAGGTGAGTAATAAAGAAGGAAATAAATTGTTTCAGTTAATGAGAAGCAGTGCCTAAAGGTTGCTGGAGAAGCCTTGCTGCAAATGCCTGAAAATAGGTAAATGTGCCACTAGGAGAAGAATATGCAACGTACGTGTATGACCTCACCCCCGTTAATGCTTCTGAAGAAATACATTTTTAACTGACTCTGTTAGGTATGTCACTATAATTATGACATGGACTTAAGATTTGTCCATACTATTTATTCAGTATGGACATACATAATACTATGTATTATTTACTAATACAGTTTAGAAAAATTAAAAGGTATAATGTGCAAAATATTAAATATAAAGAATCTTTTTTACTTTACATTTCTTTAGGCAAAGACGGGGAAAAAGCATGAAAGTAACAGGATTTGCAAATAGTTTCGTTGACTTGTCTATGGTGTCTGATAAGTATTACAGTTGAGAGACTTTTACAAATGCTTAGTTTCTGTTGAATAACTAATCATTAATTGGAAGGGAAAAAACATCTAAATTATGTGAAACACTGAAAGAGGAAGTGTAATGAAAAGTGCTTTAATTATTTTCAGTGAGACAGCAAACTGATGCACTTATCAATAGTAATTTTATATTTTCTTGCCTTATTGTATCCTTTGCTAGTCACCAGAAAATGCTATTTGTAACGCAGGAGAAAATGTCTCTTAATGTTAGTAACGCACTGTTTTCACCTCTCTCTCTAAATACGTGGCAAAATCATCCTTGTATCTGCCAGATTATGGTGGAAACAGCTTGTGCACAAGGTTACGGAACCATTGCTGCTGAAACTTTTTTGTAAAATGGCAGGCAGTGAACGCACAGCGTCTGTTTTGAATACAGAGAGAGCATGATGAAAAGGCTTGAGTCTGCAGTGAGTGATAAAGCAAAGGATTTGGAGAATGTGGAGAAGAGGAACAAATTCAAATTGCAGTCCACTTTCTGCCCAGTACAAGGTACAAGCCTATTCTCTCACTTTTCGGATAAGTGACTACTGGTAGACTTTAGATATTCTGAAGTGAATTTCCCTCAGTGCCCCTTTTTCAGTCTCTCTGTACTTTATATAAAA